TGCACCACACTGGACATTTGTACCACAAAATGTTGATAAAAAATTGTGTTTTACTGATGCTGGGTGCGTGTTCAGAGGGTCCTGGCAGGGAGGGGAGTGTGTTTCATTTATATAATTTGGTGCTGGTGTCTTTGGGAGGGCTGGAGAGTTAAAGAAGTTTGTGTGTGTGTGTTCATAGATGTTCATGGGCTTGTGGAGAGGATCTGGCACCAGAAATTAGGTCGCTCTCTCCAAAATGCCCTTTTTGACAAGACCTAGCTTCAGGTCAGTGATGGATTTCCCCATCCTCCCCGTGCACCAGGTGCTGAATCCTGCCTGCTCCCTGGGGTTTTGGCCCCTGGGTCCAGCCAGGGCCACCAGCAGCTTCCCTGGCTCTTTGATGTCCTCGGAACATGGAGCCTGTCCTTCTCCATCCCGCCCTGTCAGAACAGATCTGGGGCTCACTCACTGCCATCCAGCACAGAGAGATGGAGAACAAGAGCTGTTCTTTTGCAGGCAGCTTTTTACTGCAGGGCAAGTGGTTCATGCGTCAGGGCTGGTCTAATCTGGCACCCGGGAATGGGGGGCTGGCTGTCCCCATGGGCTCCCTGCAGTGCTGCCCAGATGCTGCCACCTCGCCCCAAGGGTCCCCTGCCTTGTTGGCTCTGCCTCCTCTCCAGGGCTGGCTCTGCAATGTGAGAGCATCAGTAAAAGCCATACAGTGGGCAGGGAAGGACAGGCAGGGGTCCCTGGCAGGGCTGTGTGGGTGGGCAGTGATCTGCTCCGTGCCACTGTCACTGCAGAAGGCAGGTCATTAATGATTGCTCTTCACTCCAGAATGAAAAGGAGCTGCTGAGGCTGGCAGTGCCAGGGGCTTGGCAGCACCTTCCTGCACTGAGCTGGGCTCCTCCAGCCCCTCCAGAGGCAGATCAAAGTGAAGTTTGCTCCCAGCTTGCTCTGAGCAGCACGTCAGGCTCTCAGGAGCTGCCATCCCTGTCAGGGCTCAGTGCTGAAGTGAAGCTCCCTAATGGAGCAATGGCCATGCAGAACTGATCCTGCCCTCACCCTGCTCCTCTCACAGGTGGCACTTGAGCACTTCCCAGCGAGGTTAATATTTTAATATGCTTAATTGTCGGAATCTGAGGGTATTGGTGATTCCCAGATTGTAGAAAGTCTCTGTCTTTCTGCCCCACTGCCAAAGCAGAAGCCATAATTGGTCTGTGCTGTTTCAAGGTTGTTTATTCTGTTTATCTCTAACATGTTCTGCTGCCCTGCCGCAGCTCTGTCCTGCAGGGCAGCGTGTGGGGCTCTGCCCTCAGTGGGATGGTACAAACATTAAATACCAGAAACTACCTGTGCTGGATTTACAATAACGTGCCAATATCTGTCACCTACGTTGGACAGTGTGTCCCCAGCCTGAACCAACAGAAAAATGCCAACACCACAGTGAAACATGGAGGGCATGAAGAAGGAGAAAAAGGACAAGGCACACCCAATTTCCTCCATCTTGTCCCCTTTGGACCCCTCATCTAGAATCCTAAAATTTTACTTTTGCACCCGTGCCACACTTAATTATTATTCTTATCAAACACTCAAAGCTTGTAATTCATCCTGTAAGATTGAAAACTCTTTTCCATGGACAGAGATCACAGACAGTGTCTCTGGGGGCTCTGTCCAGGGGGGTTCCTGACCCCCTGCCAGGGTCCCAGACCTTCCAGGGCAGCCAGAGGGAAGCCCTGGATTCCCACAGTTAATGGCTCATTCCAGCTCGCCAGCCCTTCCTGAGCTTTGGCAGGGTCACCCGTTATGCCAGGCTTTGGGGAGCCAGTTTCCCATTCCCATCCTCAGCCCTCCCGAGGGCAGGAGGTTGGTTTGTGCTTCCAAGTTTTAATTAAAGCATGACAAGCTGCCCTTGCCAGCCCCAGCCTGGTGCCATGTGGGATGAGCTGCTGTCTCCTGACAGAATTCTGTCTCTCTGTGCAAAGACCCAGCCCCAAAATCTCCTTTCCACCACCCAAAGCAGCTGTAGCTCCTCACCTTCTCCTTCCAGGGATGTGGTTGTTTGGTGGCTCAGTGGAAAAGCCAGGAGGGAGGATGGGAGCATGGTTCTCCTTGCTGTCCACCCACGATGAGAAACCCCCTGGGAGGACCAGATGGGGCTGAGCTTTTGGGGTGGGTGGTGGAGGAGCTGTCATGGTTTGTTGGTTTTGGCTTTTTAAAAATAATTCTCCCTGCATTAATAAACAGTGGGTTTAGTTAGTAAATAGTATCCCCTTCCTCCCTCCATCTCTCCACCAGAAATATGTGCCCTGATCTAATATATCCTGCCTTTCTCACTCCCTCATTTCAGAGGAGCTGCAGATCCTGGTGGGAACAGAGTGCTAATAGAAAACGGCCTCTAAAGAGATTTGAAACATGACCAAGAAAGGACAGAGGGAGATTCGTCTCCAAATATGCTGGAAAATCTCGGAGGTGGGCCAAGAACAGGATAATATCAGGAGCTTGATTGCTACGAGTGAAAAGTTAATTGGGAAGCATTAATTGGGGTGAGAGCTGGCGGCACAGACATGAATTTGCTATGTGGGACACCACAGTGAACTCGGAGCTGCCCCAGTGCTGAGATAACTCAGCCACCCCAGCCCGTGGGGATGTGCCAATTTACTATTTCTCACCACTTTTAGTGGTGTTTTTCTTATTGAAAGTCCCAACTTTTGGAATCCTGCGATTGTCTTGAAATCCTGAATCTAAAAAAATCGTGATGTCAATACTGCATAAGGCTTTATTTGGGTTTGGTCTCTGAGGAGTTTCTAGCCCTCGAGTTTGCAGGGAAAAGCTTAGTTATACTCTAAAGCAAATTTAGGGGAGAAAAAAAAACAACAAAAAAACACACCAAAAACAGTGCAGCAATTGATTTATTTTTAAAATCTCATCATTTTGGTGCCAGTTGCATTATATTCTTTTTTAATGCCTGACTCATGATTTCTGGAGCGCTCGGGGTTGGCAGGGCTGTGAGTGTGAGCTCAGGGGCCCTCTGCTGATAGGGAATGCAGGGCTGCTTCCAGGCAGCACTGCCCCGGCCCTCCAGGGCTGATGAATATTCCTGTACTGCTGTTCCACTGCCAAGCAGATTGTTTTCACATTAAACCCCCCAAAAAAGGGACAGCAGAGCTGGGCATTGGGTCATTGTGCTGATGGCTGAGCATCATCATCATCCTCATCAAGGAGGATGAAGCATGCTGTGACTCCCAGCATTGCCTCAGGGGTATTGAGATCACAGGGCTCAGGGTTAATTTGCAGCCTCCAGTGGGTAAAGATCTAATAAACAGCCTGTGGAGGTCAGGTCTGTCCCTATCAGTGACTTCTCCTGTGACCTTCCTCTCTCTGATCACTTTGTCTCTCTCCTGTCAGGTGATGGGTTGTCCCAGGATGCATTGTGTGTATTGATTAACATAGAAACTGTGCTTTGAAGATGAAAAATATCTTGGAGATGCTTAAAGCTCCTGACAAGCATGTGTGTTCCTTTTGCAGGGATCCAGCAGAAGGCAAAGTGCCTGAATGCTTTGTCACAGGCAAAATCTGCTGCATGTGCAGCTCCGAGAGGCAGGGCTGGGAGCTTCCCAAGGCTTCACATGGCCTTGGAATGATTCCTGGGTGCTCAAGCTTCTTGCTTAAGGGGTGTCAGAGCACAGCAATGCCTGGGGCTTTGCCTATCACGGGCTGGAGTGGAGCAGCAGAGCTGTGCCTGCACCCATCCCTGCAGTATCTGCTACCCTTCCACATCCCAGCAAGCACAAAGCCAGGTTTCATGTGTCTTTCCAGCTTTGGTAGTGTCCCTGGGGTGGATGTGGGTGATGGTGATGGACAGGGTCTGGATATTCACTGTGAAACATTCAGGAAGAGTTTTATGGCTCTGGATTTGCTGTTGTCTAGTGTAGGGTTGGATTCACACTCAGCTCCAGGCTACTCAAAAAGCATCTCCTGGTTGCTACTTTGCATAAAACTGGTGGCTGGTATCTTTGAAGCCCCGTGACTGGTTGGTTCTGTGAAGGATGCTGACGGAACCCAGGCCTGGGTCAGGGGTGGAAAAGTGAAGTTTGGAAAAGGTGTGGTGGAAAAGTCTCTCCTCCAAGCCGAGCTTCCAAAGAAAGGCTCAGCAGTCTCTGTTGTTCAGTCCCAAGGCAGTTTATTGCAAGTTATCTAAAAGATTTTCTTCTGGGGCTGCTGTGGTTTGCTCACAGCTCAGGCAGAGGCACACACACACCCTGACATCCTCTCTGACTCCCGACTGCTTCTTCTCTCCCCGCCCAGGGCTGCTGCTGTCTTTTATATGGTACATTCCGTGTTACATGGGTACAGTTTGTCCCCAATGCCCATTACCTATATTAAATGGTGCTTTTCTATCTTTTATATGGTACATTACGTGTTACATGGGTACAGTTTTTCCCCAATGCCTATTACCTATATTAAATGGTGCCTTTCTACTCTAAACCAATCTGTGAGTGCCAACATCACCAAGAACATAGAGGTGAGGAAGGAGAAAGAGGGAGGACAGGACAGGCCCAAATCCCTCCATCTTAAAACTTCTGACCCCCATGTACAAAACCAAAACCCCCCTGTACAGCACTCAGAAATTCTTCCCTCTACTTTGTGACTCCTTCTACTCTAATATCTAAACTTCTGTGACTTCTTGTTCTTCCTGCAAGGTTGGTAAATCATTCCATGGCTCAAACCCAAAATCACAGCTGTTTCCAGCTGCCTGCCAGGGTCTCAAATGCTTCTGACCTGGGCTTGTAACCTCCAAAAATGTCTGAGGGACATTTTGAGTTCCAACAGGACGCCAGAGTTACGCAGCAGATTTATTGTCCAGCATAATCCCAAACCCCTCGTTTCCTTGGGAAGCTTCCTTTGGCTCGGTGTCGCTAACCAGGGATTTTGCCAGAGCAGCTCTCTGTGGGTTGCCCTGCCCGTGCCTGTGCTCTGCCAGCTCCCTGCCAGCCCTAACGGTGCCTTTTCTCTCCAAGGGAAGAAGCGATGCTGTCCACCTACTTCGAAACCATCAATGACTTGCTCTCCTCCTTCGGGCCCGTCCGCGACTGCTCCCGCAACAACGGCGGCTGCACCCGCAACTTCAAGTGCGTGTCGGACCGCAAGGTGGACTCCACGGGCTGTGTGGTAGGTGCTGGGGCTGTGGGGTGGGTACTGGGGCTGTGGGGTACATACTGGGGCTCTGGGGTACATATTGGGGCTCTGGGGTACACACTGGGGCTATGGGGTGGGTATTGGGACTGTGGTATGGGTACTGAGGCTGTGGGGTAGGTATTGGGGCTACTGGGGCTATGGGGTGGGTACTGGAGCTAGCTGTAGGATAAGTGCTGGGGCTGTGGGGTGTGTACTGGGACTGTGATAGGTCCTGGGGTTGTAGGGTGGGTACTGGGTTGTAGGGTAGGTGCTGGGGCTCTGGGGTACACACTGGGGCTGTGGGGTGGGTATTGGGGCTGTGGGGTAGGTTCTGGAGCTATGGGATACATACTGAAGCTGTAGGGTAGGTGCTGGGGCTGTGGGGTAGGTATTGGGGCTGTGGGGTACATACTGGGGCTGTGGGGTGGGTACTGGCACTGTGGTATGGGTACTGAGGCTGTGGGGTAGGTATTGGGGCTACTGGGGCTATGGGGTGGGTACTGGGGCTCTAGGGTGGGTACTGGGGCTGTGGGGTTGGTACTGGAGCTAGCTGTAGGATAAGTGCTGGGGCTGTGGGGTGTGTACTGGGACTGTGATAGGTCCTGGGGTTGTAGGGTGGGTATTGGGTTGTAGGGTAGGTGCTGGGGCTCTGGGGTACACACTGGGGCTGTGGGGTGGGTATTGGGGCTGTGGGGTAGGTTCTGGAGCTATGGGATACATACTGAAGCTGTAGGGTAGGTGCTGGGGCTGTGGGGTAGGTATTGGGGCTGTGGGGTACATACTGGGGCTGTGGGGTGGGTACTGGGACTGTGGTATGGGTACTGTGGCTGTGGGGTAGGTATTGGGGCTACTGGGGCTATGGGGTGGGTACTGGGGCTCTAGGGTGGGTACTGGGGCTGTGGGGTTGGTACTAGAGCTAGCTGTAGGATAAGTGCTGGGGCTGTGGGATAGGAGTCAGGGCTAGGTACTGGGGCTGTGGGGTGGGTACTGGGGTTGTAGGGTAGGTACTGGGGCTCTGGGATACACACTGGGGCTGTGGGGTGTGTATTGGGGCTGTGGGGTAGGTTCTGGAACTGTGGGATACATAGTGGAGCTGTAGGGTAGGTGCTGGGGCTGTGGGGTACATACTGGGGCTATGGGGTGGGTACTGGGGCTGTGGGGTGAGTCCTGAGGCTGTAGGGTAGGTGTTGGGGCTCTAGTGTAAGTACTGGGGCTGTGAGGTACATACTGGGGCTGTGGGGTACGTAGTGATGCTGTGGGGTACATAGTAATGCTGTGGGGTTGGTACTGGAACTGTAGGGTCCTCAGGGCTGTCCTCTGGTTTGGGGACAAGCCAGAGGGAGATGTGACCTGCTCCTGCTTCCTGTGGCTGAGGGGATGTGTGTGCTGGAGGTGAACTTCCCCCAGTCCTGGGGCTTCCATGGCAAATCACAAATGCTTTAAAGACTCCAGGGAAGCAGCCCAGGTGCTCAGATGAGCAAAAGAGAAAAAAAAAAAAAAAAAGTTTGAGTCTGGTGGTCATTTTCCTGCTTGCCAAGAAGCAGGGGTGGAAAGCGGTCTTGCTTTTTCTCCTGCTTTGTGCTTCCCAGTGCAGAAGAAAGATGAAGCATCCCCCCAGCATATCCACCTCTGGGCATCTCTGACAGCCTCAGAGTCTTGATTTGTTTCTGAACACGCTGATGTCTTACCAAACAATCCACTGAGTCCAGGTTTTGCAGAGTCCAGAAGATGATCTAGACCCTAGACCATTAGTTTTGGGCAGAGGCTCTGAATCACAGAATCCTAGAAGGGTTTGAATTGGAAAGGACCTTAAAGGTCATCTTGTCCTAACCCCCTCCATGGGCAGGACACCTTCAGGACACTGACCAGGCTGCCCAGAGCTGTGAGCAGCTCCAGGGAGGTGCTCCAGCCCCCGATGCCCAGAGGGGTTTTTCTGTGATTCCAGCTGGGAGCAGCAGAGCTCAGCACCTCGCCCAGCTCTAACCCATCTCACCCTGACATCAAAGTCATCCTTTCTCAGTGTGAGCAGCCTGTGTGAATCCAGGATGAGGTGCAGAGACACAGGACAGAGCCTCGGGAAGTGGAGCACACCTGGAGCATCCCTCTGTGTCTGTTGTTGGCAGCCAGGAAGCCGTGGTGACCCCCGCGGTGGTCCAGAGCTGTCACCCCCTCCAGCAGCCCCTCAAGCACACATTCACTGCTCCTAAACCCCCAAAACCCCTCACATCCCTGCAGGCAGGGCCTCCTCACCACATCCCTCCCGTCTCAGCAGAGACAGGAGGTAAGTGTCTCTTTATTTATTGAAGATGTTTGTACACGGCAGCTGGGAAAGGTCAGGCTGGAGCCGTGCTGTCCCGGGGGGGGGGAGGCGTTTTCATTATCCCCTTCTCAGGTTGCTTGTTAAGGCCATTTAGCATGACAGTCTGATGTGTCACCAGCAGCCTGGTGCCATCTCTCCCTTGCCGCTCCTCTCCCCTTCCTCCTTTATTTTCCCATTGCCATTTTTTTCTTTTCCCCCCTTTTGCAGGGAACAACTGCATTTCTAGTCTTTTGGGGTGTTTCCCCCCTTTTTTTAGGGTGTTATTTTGCTCTGAATGGCACCATCCTTGTCCAGGCACTGTCAGAAGCAAGCAAGGCTCTGATCACCTCATGCCTCTGGGAAGTGGTGCCTCTTTTTAAAGTCGGGATATATTAGGATAGAAATTTTCAATAAATTACAGACCTAGTGCTGGCATGTGGAGAGGCAGAAAAGGAAAAACCTGCCACTTGGGGAAAACAGACCCCATCTTCTGCAGTGCCTGAGTGAGGCAGTGTGTAAAGAGAATGGAATGTATGGTGAGGGGACAAGGGAGGAGCAGCAGCAGCATTCTCCTGGAGGGCATCCCCTCCTGAAAGCTGTGAGTGAGAGGTGACACCTGGGGACCACAGGAACCCCCGTGCTACACATCACAGCAGGCTCCTGGGGCCGTGCATCCCATGGGGACAGGAGAGAGTCTCTCCCCACTGTGCTCTTCACCCCTTTTTCTCCCCACTGCAGGAGCATGAGGCTGCTCTGGCCCTCTCCACAGCTCCCAGTCCCAGCCTGAGGACAGCAGAGCTGAGCAGCCCAGGGGGAGTGCGGGGACAGGCACTGCATCCACCCCAGCCCTTGTCTCCCTGCTGCCCTTTGGACTGGCACCAGCCCATGCTGCCTCCAGCTCTCCCAGCCCTGTACAATGTTTTGTTCTCATCACCTGCTGTCCGTCCCTGGCAAAGGAGGGGTGTGAGAGAGGTGTGGAAGGAACTGTTCCCATGTTTCTGACTGTGCTCCACGGCCACTGTCCAGGGAGAAGCCCAATGGGTGGGCTGGCAGCTCTGCCCCCAGCCCTGGGTGGTGCTCATGGTGCAGAGTGGGATCAGAAGGGCTGAGAGTGGAGTCTCAGAGCTCACACAGGCTCAGTTTGAGACATTCTGGTATTTTCTTTGCCCATGCCTGTGCTCCCCTCCTCATCCCACTCCTGTTCCTGGAGCCTGCTGGGTGTGAGCTGGACTTCAGTGCAAGAAGGGATGGGGTCATGTGCTGCAGATTTTCAGGGATGTCAGTTAGTTTTGAAGCTGAACTGCTGTGAACTCAATTTGCCAATTTGGTAAGTGCTATGGGCAATATCAGGATGTAATTTAATTAAGCTATCCCCTTTTTATAGAGTTCAGGGAGCATTTGCCTACTAATTTTAGCACTAGGTTTGCTCCAGCTTTACTCTGGACACAGATTCACAAATCATGACATGTTGTTAATCTCTACCAGTCAACAGTTTATTAATTTGCTGAGGACCACAGAAGTATATAATCAGTGGTTCATCAATCAAGGCTAAATCCAACAAATGTTCCAGGCAGGTACTGAGCGTAAAATATACATGCAGCCTTGTAAGCAATTAATACAGCACAGAGCTGGAGCCGAGTGCCTCAACCAGGGAGCAGCACAAATCTCAAAGATTTCTTATTCCTTTTATGTATAATCATCATCTGTTACCAGTTCTTCGTGCCCTTAATATGGCTTCCAGTAATTCTGCGAGGACTGGGATGCATTTATCTCTGGTTTTTAGTGGCGTGGGCTCTGCCATTACCTAATTGTTTGGCCTTAAAAGGTCTTGGTTAAAAAGTCGAGGGCGGATTGCTCGTGCTGGAGCCTGGCTGAGTCTCCTTGGGCTGATGATGGGGAGGAGAGAGGGCATCGCTTTACTCAGTTAAAATCCTCCTTTTTAGGCATCACCTGAAGAGCCTAAAGCCTCTCCAGCAGGGTTCCCACCCACAGGGGTGGCATCTCCCCCCTGCCATCCTCCACTTCCCATGGGATCCCTTTTCCCCCCCATCCCAGGGTTTTCTGTTAGTTTTGTGTGCACCCAGTAGATGGCATGAGTGCATAAAGGGTTTCTGCAGTTCTTTTCTTATCGGAGGCCAGTTTTTTATTCAGGTAGTTTTAAGAATTATCAGCTGCCACCTTGCCAAAGGCTTTGGCATTGCTATCTGGAGCCTTGTGTTTGAGCCCTAACGTCACCAAACAGCCCCCAAGCTCTAGAAAACCTGCTTCCATGCTGCTTTTGCTGGCTGCACTCTAGAGCTGCTGATGGATCTGGTCAAACTGTGGGAATTTCCCAAGAAAACAAAAGCCCAGTGAATCTCTTGGAATCCAGTGACTCTGCACGTTGAGTCCCTTCTATGTTTCATACAGTCTTGCAGGGATCACAGCAAACCAGGAGAAGTGTGCCAGAGGAATAATTCAGACTATATCCTATAAATGAAATCTTACTGATCTTTTCTGCTGGCACTGTGGTAGCTGCACAGCCTGGAGGGAGGATGCTGAAGGAGGGAAAACGCTTAACCCTCATGTGTTGGTGATTCATAATTTGAGATGAAAACCTGTGAATTGGCCCTGAGAGACTGAAGGAAACACCTGCATCATGGCTTAAATTCAGGTTTCCCCAGCTGTCTCTCAGATTGGCTTCGCTCCCTGGTGC